TTATATGGAATTCCCGGTATAAATAAACGTTTTATTTATTGATGTGAATTTATACCCTTTATATTTAACTACTTGTTAAACGGTTACTCAGAGCTTTCGTAAAATTGTCCTCATTCATTATTTACATCACTTTCAGTAATCGTTTGCGAAATAGAGTTAAGAAACAACTTAAAACACAGCAACTGCTGCTTAAACTGTTATTGTCTGCAGAATTTGAAAAATCCTTTTAAATCCTTGTACATATATTGCTTATAATGGTAGTTCATTTTACTGAGAGAGTAACTTTGTGCGAGGATCCTATTGATGAAGCAAAGAATTTTTATTCCATTTTGTGAAATGATATTGACAGGTATGTCCTGAAAGCCAGATTACCTATTAGTTGCTATCCCAAATAGTCTCAGTTTAAATTACTGAAAAATAAATGAGAAAAAGAGGTGTTTTGGTAATCGATTATTTAAGCAGTTGTTAAGCCATGAAGAGCTTAAATCCCATCAAATGCGTACATAAAGTCTCTACGAGGTATTATGAGACAGCTTCCTACGGATGTGATACATATTGCTTCATATTCATTAAAATGATAGTTGCTAAAATCACAGGGGATCGATTGTTTTTGTTAAAAATTGTGACGTACCATTAAGATTAACTTTAATTTGTGAGGTAGAGCCGCATAGATAGCACTACATTGAAGAGAAATCTTTTTGCTAGTCCGGAAAAGTTTAAGCCAAAATAATTACTAATTACAGTTAAAGAACTTAATTTAGTAACACTTGTTTGCTGTTAAAAATAAAATTGATACACAGCTATTTCGCCGGTTAACTTTTTAATCAACTTGAATATACTTCTTATATAACCACATGATTTAAACATTTATTACTAATTAACAAAAGTTCATTTTCAAGTTAGAACGTGGAAGGAGATTAACATTTGAAGATTGTGTAGAAGAAAACGTTTTAATCGGTTCGTTTTTGAATTGCAATAACTACATCGACCCCTCTTATTTGTCTTTTGTGATTAATTTTCTAAGTATTGTGTCACGAAGTACTTCGCTAATTGGGGACGAGTTAAATATGTCAGTTAAGAATAAACACGTAAGTGACTTTCTACTAGTTGAGAAGACAACTGGACATTATCATCGACCAACATCTTCTGTGTTTCTTAGAGTCATATTCGGAACACAATTTTTTCGGATCTTACAATTTTCCTTTATGTCTTCTCCGAACGATTCTTACAGGTTGCGTGATACAGCGTGATTAATAGTAACAACATTTGAAGATAACAATATTTTCAATATCTTATTATAACAATACATTATAATAAGTAAGTCAAAAAATAGGATACCTACAACTTATTCTTGGAGTTGTAACGGAAACGATCAGCAACGTGTTTTCGTACATAATTTTTATTAGTTATTAAATTTTTCAACATCTTGAAATTCAACGACCATCTTCAAAAAAAAAAATTATGAAAGTCTACCAATAAACATAACAGTTATATTGAATGTCATCAACTTAAATCAAGTAGAGAAGCCGTATCTATGTTACAAGAAGTTTCTCTAATCCACCACATTATCAAACTTGCTTATAAATAAAAACAAAAAAAAAACCTATTAATACTATACAAACCCGTAATAAGCTTAGATATTTCTGGAATATTGCTAAAAACCAATAAACTACAAATTAATAAAGAAAGTGTTTCGTTTGGAATACCATGATGAAATGTCGAAAACTTTTAACAACTGATATTCAAAATTAATGACATCACACAAGCAGTACTCAACATCTAGATCCCTTGTGTGTATATCCTGGTCCTGGTATATCCTGGAATATCCTGTCATTCTCTGGTCCATTCCTCTCCGAGCAATCATATAAGGTGTATAATATCATCATTATACACTCATTCTGCCAGTTTGCTTAACTATTGGTTTTTGATGGTCTATTTCCAACCCCAATCTTTAAAACTTTTGTAATAAATTTATGATCAGGCAGATGTCTGCCTCTACCACGAAACTTTTATGATCAATACAAATCAGTTCCTGGGAAGCATGATTTAAAATGAGTAAACAACACACCGCGTTCTCAATATGCGATTGCAAGGGAGGCAATCCAAATAGATCTTTTATTGTAAAAGGTACTTTCTCACTACATGTTTAAAGAAAATTATTATTTTCCAGAAAGCAACCACAACTAATAAAAATGTTTTGTACTCGGTGTCCTATACATTACTCACGTTCTTTTGCCGATTGGTAAAAAAAAGCCACGTTGGTGAAGACATACTGTACAAGTCTACCGTCATACTGATTCAAACCCGTCACTTGTCTTTTTTTATCAAAGAAAGTTAAGCTAATGCGAGTAATGTGCACGACACCGAGTACAAAAAATTTTTATTAGTTGTGGTTGCTTTCCAGAGAATTAAAATTTTCTTTAAACACCTTTCTCACAGATTGAACTGCATTGGTGCTGCTTCTAGGTGCTTTTAGAATAATTAATTAATAATTTAAATTTAAAAAAATGGAAGCTACTATTCAGAAAAACATGCAAGGTTATTTTTTCCCATCCATTGAACCAACATCATGTAAAAAAATCCATTTATCCTGGAACTCACCTTAATTTACTGACATTTGCACCGACATCTTTTTTTAGGACAAAAAACTTCTCAATTAGGAAAAGAGGAAAAGGATGAATATCGAGTAATTCTAGTAATAATAGAACATGAACGAGTAGTAGAAATCCAAAATGATGACACATGCTAGATTAATGATACAAACTATAATTAACACAGTGGTTGAGGCAGAAATGAACAACCAAGAAACATGCAAAGTATTCGTTATACGTATAGCCAGAATGCAACTCTTCGTGTACTTCAACAATTTTTTCTGAAAACAATTTCATTTCAGATCACCGTCCCTAAGAAACTCAGCAACAAAAATTCAAGATATTGATGCAATTTTAAACTCTAAAGTGAATCTCTCAACGCATCACTAGCCTCTGGTATAGTTCTTGAAATAACTTGCTTTGAGTGGTAAGAATTTCCAGTAGCAAAAGAATGCGATTTTGCTCCCAGTCGTTTACTAGCTAGATTTTGTATCTCTTTTTGGTAATTTTGGATGCTATCATACTTAGTAAATCTTCAAATCTGAACATGTTATTCGCAAAAAAATTCTGAATCCAGTATTACATCTATATTCCAAGTTTATATTATCAATATCATTTAATATTACTTCTTTTATTAAATCACTCTTGCGATATTTATTTTTGCTTTGAAGGCTTGGTCAAATCGTAGTGCAGTGTGTCATAGTGGAGATGCACGTTAAGAGTTGGCGTGGTGCTTATTGAAAGAAACACAGCTATTCGTTGAATTCGTGAAAGTTAATTAGCGTGTTTCAATAATGAAAATAGGGAATTTTAAACTATATGTATTATATTATTATCAAAATGATCCATTCTTCAAGAAAAATAAAATTCTACTTATTATAAACTAGTTCTCAGCTAATTATCTAATCTTTAAAGCGAAACTTTTAATAGAAGAATCACTGTTTTCACTATTTAAGCCTTATTTATTGATTACAGTGAGCATTCACTTAATTTGAGAGTAACAGTAAGAATTTTAATACTGTAACATCAAAAATCTTACAAAGTTGACAAAGTTAACCAAATCAAGCGAATTTTATGACGCAGAATTTCTGCCCACAGCTTATTACATACAAGGATCCACAAGGATAGCCTTGCTTTGTGGGCAACATTCTACAAATGAACGTTCTACGAAAGGGTTTTTATTGTTAATTTCTTTCGAAAAAAATATTTATTTCTCTTGATAATCTTTATGCCTCTTTGTGATTAGTCTTGTGAAAGTTTTCGTCTTCACATCAAATGTAACTTGGGTTTAAAATTCTGTGTAGGATTTAGGTGATGACTACTTTTAACACACAAATACTCTCTACAACGACAGAAAACATTTCAAACTCACACCTGGTAGATGTATAATAAACCTAAAACCGGTTAACACAATATACACATAACTTAACCCTGTTACTAGCCATCTTCTCTGTCAATTTATCTGATAGAAAAATCTAAAATGGGCCTTGACCTTAAATATTCCAACATAATTTCGATGTTATCATTAATGATTATCTTTCATAGTTGTCCTTCTCTATTGATTTATTGTAATACAAAAAAAACTTGCATTACAAAAATTTACCACAAAAAATAAATAGAGAGTAACAGTGAGTAATGTAATGTCTCAACGATTTGTAACTACTGTGTAACCTATAAACTTTGTGGTACAACCATAAAAGTATATCTGAAGAAACAAGATACAACATAAATCTTTCGAAACAGGATTCTTGAAATTTTAAAGCTTTCTCTTAACATCTATGTCATCTGTTTAGTTAATGTGTTAATCCAGACGTTTATATTCATTTATATTGTTATAAATTTTATTAAGTAGGTATATGTTTTATTAAGTATTGAAACTATCAAGTTGTTACGGTTAAGATAACTACATACATAAAACTTCGTAAGAAAAACGATTTCCCAATAAGTATAACATTTAAGAGGAAAGTGAAATTTATATCACCGTAGATTTCACTTTCGCGCAGGCTAAGGCGTGGTCACAATTGTGAATTATAAAAGAGTCTGCTGAAAAATACCCATAGTGAAACTTGTTTTAATGATATTGTCGTTAAAAAGATTAATTTTATTACCGATACTGATCGTTTTACGCCAATTTACCGGTCTTTAAGTGGTTGAAGGAAGAGAAAGTTTTCGGTATAATAAGCTAGTTCAATGCCGCGGACGTTCAAGTTCAATGTCATCATGATTTTTACGATGACAAAAATGAATGAAACGTCAACCTTGGCTTTTAAAATTCAAAAAATTTATAACAAATAAGAATTTTAAACAAAATCTAATGATTTTCATTAACTTTTTATCTAATGCTATCTATCCTCCTTGTATGTTATTTATATTTTTTATTTTTTTTTTAATTACTTTTTTTATTTTCAGATCACCAGGAAAAATGAGCTAACGATAACCTTTCTATTTTTGACAACGTTAAGATTAACAAATTGTTATAATGCAAAGTCTTATGATAACAACGATTGGATTCCGATTCATCAACCGGATCATAAAATCCAGAAAAAAGCTGTTGAGAGAGTTTTAACAATCCCGGAACAAGCACCATTGAGATTTTTCCCGGAAGAATACAGAAATACAAGACAAGCCGAATACCAACAGCAGTATTTAAGAGAAATTTCTAATCAAGCTCAACAAAGACCTCATCATCATCACAACACTAAACAACAATTTACTCCGCAACAATTAGAGCAGTATTATATCGATCAAAGAAAGAAATTAAACGAACAACGAAATCTACAACAAGCTTTACATTCTCAGCATCAACAAGAAAATTCGCAATCGAAACCTTATCAAAATCAACTTTTAAAACAAACCTACGAAAGTTTACCACGCGAATACCTTCACCCGCCATCACCTCAACAATTACAACCACTTTCACATCATTATCTTTTCCCTAACCAAGGTGGAGTACAATTAGTACAAGAAAATAAAGGAAATCATCCAGTTTCTTTAACCCAATTAATTCAACAACCACCAGGAGCTAATGGAACAGTTGGATTTTATAATAATTTAAATGAAAATTTCAACAATGTTCCTCAAAATCGGCCTATTGAATTAACAACCAGCAAGCCACCTCCAGTTAAAGAAGACGTCCAATTACTTTATTTACCGATTGAGCAAATTCAACCTAAACCAAAAGAATTTACACCAAACTTACAAAATCAACACGTTTTACAACAACAAATTTTACAACCTCAAATCCAACAAAAACAAATTTTTCAAAAACAAATTTTACAACCTCAACAATTTCAATCGCAAATTCAGCAACAACCAATACTTCAAAATCGCCCAGCTAATTTAAATTATCTTTCTTCTAATAACAATCAAGAAGCTCTTTTAAGAAACATTCAAAATGATTTTATTCAACAAGCCTTGCAAGCGCATAAATTACAGGAACAGTTAGACCAAGAAGTTGTAACACCAGAAACTGTTGTTAAAAAAAGGAAACCGCATCAACCACCTTTAGCTGTTTATATGAACGGCCAAGAACACGCTCATGTTACTGATGTTGTGAAAGCTTTAAAAGATAGTAAAATGATTAATGTTCAAGATACTATAGGACCTGATTCTCCTCATGTCTTTGTTGGACCAGCAAATTTAAATCCGCCGAATGGTTTTTCGAAGTTTGAATTGCCGTATTTATCGAGTATAGAAAACAATCGAGTTGAAAGAAAAGTGGATCAATATCCATTCTTTGTGGCACCTTTAAATTATAAAACTTTACCAGGGTATGAGAAGATTCCGTTTCCTCCTCCTCATGTAGGATCGGTTGTTCTTAATGTTAACGGTTTGGAAAAAGGGCATCATAAGACAACATTGAGTGGCGAAAAAGATTTATCTTTAACTAGAATTAATTTTAACGAAGATAAAGATGAGGAGGTTGTCCACGTGACGAAAAGACCGACTAGGCAAAGAGGTAGACAACGAATTACAACTCCACCCCCGATTGAGACGACAAGTTATGAACCACCAGTTTATAATAATGCTCAAGTAACATCGAGTAGTTCTGGAAATATCCAAAAACCTGTTTCACCTCAAACGCAGTTTAATCAAAATATTAAATATTACCCGGGAATAAATTTAGAGGATTTAAGAGAATATCAGGTTGAAAAGACTAATTATCAACCAACAATACAAGAAATTCCAAAGTTTAAATACATAGAAACTAATCCAGATAACTCTCCGACTTATAACATCCACGATTCACCACCAGAAAAAAGAAAACCTAAACCATCTTTGGAAATACCAACCATTCCTGAGCATAAACCTCGTAATAATTTTGCTAATCCTTATTATAACCCGGATTCAACTTCAAGTTATGAAAATACACCTTATAATTATTTCGCTGATCCTTCTTATACTCCAAGTTCAACCCCACCAACAACAACGAAACCAAAACTGGAAGAATACGTTCGATTGGTGAAAGTAAGCGAAGAAATGGTGATACGTCCTCAAAGTAATGATCCACCACCAAAGGACTTTGTATTACTTCAAGATCAAAAAGAAGAAATCCACCCTGAAAGTCCCTTAATCAACAAACACTCAAAACAATATCTCCCAATCAATCAAGGATCTTTACAAAACATCCCTCAAGTTAATTATGATCATCTCTTTGAAACACCTTTCGTAACAAAGTCCGAAGTAAATCAAATAAATTCCGCTGCAAAATCCACAACGGAAACACCACAAAAACTTAAAGATTCCCATGTTAAATATGTTGTTTTAGAAGAATATCCTGTAAAAGAAAATGTATCCAGGCCATTAACGTCTAATGAAGATGAAAAAGATGATCGTATATTCCTCCTTAGATCACAAGGTTCCGATTTAAATGATTTGGCAGATCCATCAATAAGGCAATTATTAACACCTTCTTTGTTAGCACCAACCGAAAAACCCCACGAAGAAGTGATACCAAAACAAGAATATGTCTTAACAACTCCCGAACCAGTTGTATACAAAGAAGAAATAACAACAACAACACCTAGAGCGGATATTTCTAGAGTCAGAACGAGAGGACGTGGAGGATCTAGATTTAACATCGACAGAACAAGCACTTATGCACCAAGAACAAGAATTTCTTCAAGAACCCGCACAAGACAACGACCAATATCAACGACAACAACTACAGAACAAGATAGAGATATTTATATAAGCACCCCCACTCCAAGAATAGCTTCGACGAGACAACGATTTAGAAGCAGAGGAAGACCTATGATCAGTCAAGGATATTCTTCAACTATTTCAAACGTACAATACACAACAGAACCAACAACCGAAGCTGTTGAAGTTGATGAAATCAAAAAAGACGAACCAAAAATCGAAGCTTCGTTCACCGAAGAAAGTGTTTCTAAGCCACAATTAATACTAAAAGCTAAAACTTTAAGCCCCGAAGAAGAATATTTAATTACAAAATATAATTTACCATCATTCTCAACACCAGCTGAAAGCAAATCTGAAAAATACAACATTGAACTTGCAACTGAAAAAATTGGTGACCTCACAACGATTTATTCTCCATCACCAGAATATGTTAGAAGTATACCTACATCGACAAAACCCAGGATTCGACAAAGAATTCGAGGTAAATCCAGAACAACAAAAGCGACTACCACTACATCTGAAGCGCCTGAAGAAGCTTCAAGTTCTAATGAGCAAGAATTCTATGGTTTCTTCAGACAACCAAATTTTAAATCAACGACTGAAGAACCAATAGTTTCGTCAACCCCAAAACTTTTGCTTCAACTCGAAGAAAGTTCCAGTGAAAGAAGTTACAGCGACGATGAAGGTGATGAAAGAATACAAATAATTTCCAACGGCAAAGAAGAAACTCCAAAACCAATTCAATTCATCGGTGAAATTTTACCTAAATACACAACAACCGAAAAGTATTATGAAATAACACCAGAATTAGTACCTATTCACGATGCCTACATAATGACGACGATTTCTCCTCCAACAACAAAACGGGGAAGAACAAGAGGAAGATACACCACAAGAAGAACAATCGAACATAAACAAGAAGAATTTGATTCGGTTCCTATTTCATCTATACGCACTGATGATCGAGCTTCGCATCCTTCTAGATCAAGATCGAGAGGACGAACACATTTCAAAGTTCCGGTTGTTTTAACATCGGAAGGGGAAGATAATAATAATTATCCTGCTTTATATTTAAAAGCGCAACATGACCAAGAAAATTACACCCCTCAAACTTCACCACAAAGTGACAGTTTTAAAATAACTGTTGATCCTTTAGATGATGATGATCAAAATCAAGATCAACCCGAAGATCAACCCCAAGATCAAGAACCACACGCTTCAGCGCTTAGTAGTAAATATGCAGCACCTTCAAATAATTTCTTTCACACAACTTCGAATCCAAAAGAATTAAAATACATCGGTGGTAAAAACGTTCATTTTAACGGAACTAATTTTCGGGCAAATCTCACTACAATTAAATTAATCGACGTTGAGTTAGAAACAACGGAAAGTTCGAAACGAAAAGGTTTTTGGAAATTGATTAAGAAAAAGATTCCTGAAGAGTTTGAAGAGGCTGAATCACAAAACGTTGGATTTTCTAGAGAGAATGAGTTTGAAGTGGTCGATGCTAAACATAGAATATTATCTGGTGTTGATGATTCAGATGTGAGTATTACTAAACGAGATGAAGACAATGATTTTATTGGTGGTCAGAGTCAATTAGAGAGCACTCAAAAAACTATCGATGAAGATGTTGTCACCGATACAATTAACGAGGAGGAGGTAACAATGAGTCCCAATTTGATGAAAGATCTTAAAACATCAACTTCAACGTCGACTGAAATCTCTCGCGACGCTGAAATTTGTTCGAAAGGAATTTGCGTTAAACAAGAAGACTACGACTCTGATAAGTGAAAAAGATTTATTTTATTTGACTTATTAAAACAAAAATAGACAAATGTGATGTGTAGATGTATTAATTATTTTTTTATTAAGTAATAAGGTCTTTTTCAGTTAACGTACATACTTCGTGTTGGCTCAGTATACTCATGCTATTTTTTCTTTGTCTATTTTAATTAATTTAAATGTGTATTTATAATTTTTGAGTGTAAAAACAAAATAAGACCTTTTTTTCTCGTTTGTGTGTATATATGTATTATGATAATATAATTTTGTGTATGTCAGGAAGTAAATTTTAATTTCTAGTAAAAAATTCTTGTTTTATTACAACCTTTTCCAAATTAATTTTTTTATATTTTATTTATATAAAAAAGTAAAAATCAAATTGAAATTTTTTGAAAAATAATAAGTTGTATTTCATTAACATAGAAATAAGTATTCCGCTTAATATATTTGCTTTAAAGACATTTGTTCCGTTTTTAACCCGGAGTCGCTCAGATAAAACAGTTCAACATTATTACTAATAAGGGAAGTAACACAACTGTGGCACACTTGAATGAATTGTGAACCAATCTGATTATTTTTAGCTATAACAGATTCATATTGACGTGAATCCACAAAACGAGGATTATAAAGAGTTTACAATAGATTTACGATTATAATACAGGATGTTCCATCTCAGACGGGCCACCCCGTATATTTCTTATCCCATAGTAATTAGAAAAGTTTCCCGAAACCCGCCGAATGATTTTGTTTGGGGGACATCTTTTGACGTCATTTGAGGCTTGAACGAGCTTCAACCCCTCAAAATTGAATAGGGGAGAGGGGTTGAGTGATACTTCATTTGAAAAATCTCGAAAACCTCTTTACAACGGTGTATGAAAAACGTAAATTTGATGAACCGTTTTCGCCAAAAATCAATTTTTTAGCTCAAATGAGCAACCTTGAATATTTTGATTATAAATAAAAAAATTGAATTGTTTTATCATGTTGTTTTATTTATCACAATCAAAAAATCAAATCTGCGTTTTTAAATCAAATGTTCAAATTGTCCTCCATTGACTTCCATACAATAATAAATTCTCTCAAACTAAAAAATAAAAAAAAATCAAAACATTTCCATATGTTGCCTTCATTATTTGTTCTTAGAAGGTGTTTATCTGATTATAATACGTTTAAATCAATCTGTTGAGTTACTACTTTGCTGATTTGTTTAAAAATTTAAAAATAATTATGGTGTACACATTGCAAGACCGTGTTGAGCTGGTTAGCCTCTATTATCAAAATCAAAATTGTGCCCGAGCGACTGCAAGGATATTTAACCAAAACCATCCTGAACGTAGTGTTCGCCATAAGTACGTAATGGAATTGATTTCAAAATTTGTTGAGACGGGTTCAGTAATGGATAAAAAAAGGGCACCCATTGGAATTGTGAATGATGAAGGAGCAGCGGTGGCGGTCTTGGGACATGTCCAACTTATGCCAAACACGCAATCTGTACGACAACTTTCTGCAGCTTCCGGTATTAGCCAATCTAACGTTTTCAGAATTTTACATAAACACAAGTTCCATCCGTACAAAATTAAATTAATTCACGAATTAAATGATGATGATTTGGATCGAAGGCAAGAGTTGTGCGAAATCAACAATAACCCAAATTTCATGTACAAGGTTTGCTTTTCTGACGAATGCACTTTTTCACTTAATGGAGAGGTTAACCGGCATAACTGTAGAATTTGGAGCTATACAAATCCTCATGTATTTCGAGAAGCTCACACTCAACATCTGGAAAAACTAAACGTTTGGGTAGGAATTTTAGGGACCTCTGTTTATTCCTGGTAATTTAAATGGCGAAATTTATCTTGAAATGCTGGAAAATGTGATTGATCCGTTAATAACAGAAAAATTAGAAAACGATCCTCTACTATAACTACTTGAACAACAATTGCATTTCCAACAAGACGGAGCTCCTCCTCACTACGCCGCACCAGTTCGCCAATACCTCAATTTGCAATACCCCGGTCGTTGGATTGGAAGAAGAGGTCCTATAGAGTGGCTTGCCCGTTCTCCTGACCTGAACCCTCTGGACTTCTTCTTGTGGGGACATTTTAAGTCCAAGATTTTTGTGACTCAGTCTGAAAATTTGGACGAACTACGCCAACGAATTGTAAATGAGTGTCGTCACATAACTCCAATTATGCTGAACCATGTTAGAGACGGTTTTCAACATAACCCAACCCTGTATATGACGTGGTACACATTAGTAGAAGTAATAACGAAAAACTATCTCGAGTGAGACTGGCGCTGCATAATTTCACCATTTTTAGGTGGCGAAGTTAGACTAGGGCTTGTTTGTACGTTAAGAGTTTTACTATTTTAATCACTATCTCATAACGGATTTCGATGAACATTCGATATAAGTTAATCCTTGGCCCGACTCGAAATCTCTAGAATTCCAGTTTTCATGTTCTTTAAAATGACTTCTCTAAAATATATAATCCCACTAAATTAACTGTTTAAAATATACCGTTGTTAATCTAACATCGATGGTGCGTCAATTACTTTTCTCGATGATTTTCTAGAAATTAATCAAAATTCATCAATAATTCATTATCTTAACTCAGCAAGACTTTCAGATTTAGTTTTAAAGATTCGACTTTATAATTATTCTCTATGATCACAGTCTATTGATTTGAGATCTGGTGAACGTCGGGGGTATTCAACACTATCTCGTTCAACAATTTGTTGTCCAGGAAATACCTTATCTAGATAATGCCGAACATTTACATCAAAATAAGCTGGAGCATCATAATTTAGATTTATAATTTCATTTTTAAATAGCATATAAAACCTATCAGCTGTTAAATTTCCTTCGATAAAGAAGTTTATCAACTTGTACTGTAAATTTTATTTATTTACGACCTTTCTGAATACATTAATACTTGTAATACTTGAGATGTATTACACAGGGTTGAACTCGTATTGAAGGCTGGGGATGTTTAAAGGCAACACCCTATATGTGTTGCCTTTAAACATCCAAATTGACAAAGTTTGGATATTTACGGTGAATTTGGAAACATTGCGAATGTCATGCCTGAAATCCGTGTCCCATAATGGGCAAATCAATGGGCAAATTATTGAGTGGTAAATTGTCTCTCAGAAATAAGGCATATTTCTATATCTACGAGTGCTTGGAGTTCTTGTTAATGTTGCAAGATCCTATTTGCCTTTCATTCCATAATTCGTAGATTACCTAACATTACTATTTTTGGGAATGTGATTCTGTAATTATAGCACTATATTCAAGTCTAATAATAAATTCATCCATTTTACCAATACCAACCATTTTGCAAATATTGGTTGCAAATGTGACATACAAAGCGCGTCTTATTATTGTTTTAACACAAATGACTCCGTTTTCTAATAACTGTTGCTTTTGAATCTTCTCTAGGAACATTAGTGATGTTTGCGTCACTTCTTGGTGACTTTGATGAATTGCAGGTGAAATATTTTCTATAATTGTACGACGTTAAGTCTTAAACCATTGATGGTTAATTTGTTTTCGTCTATGTTTTCAATTTTGGCAATATAGAATCTTTCCCGTTTTTCTGTAGGAAATTTACATATAATATAGTCTCCCACATTTAGGTTAATATTTCGTGATACATCCAAGTTTGTTAAATTATGTGTCTTAGATGATAGCGACTCCTCGATTTCTTGAAATTTTGGCTCATTAATGGATTGATCAAAGGATGTAGATATTGGCGACATAGAATAATTTTCTTTGTCATTCTTATTTTCACCTAAATCTGATTGGTTTGAATCAGATTCTTCTTCGACTTGTTTTACTGGTTGTGTTTTTCGATTTTGTTGCTTTAGTGGTTGTTGGTGTAGAAATCAGAGTTGGCACTATTAAGTCAGCCAATGAAACGCTTTTCCCAGGCAAAACATTCAATTTTTCCCCGTTTTTGTAGCAGTTCCCGAAGAAGATTTTAATTGATCCAGGTGTGCAACTAGAGCGTTCGCCCAAGCCTGTTCATCCTGGCTGGTTTCGTTTGTTGCATTATTTTGGGGTATTTGACTGAGAACCTTATTAGGAACAAATGAGAAAATGCCACATGCCTTGAAACCAGCAATTGAGTTTTCTATTGACCGAATGCCCACCGTTTCAATTGTTTCTTGTAGAAGACTGAGAAATTTGGTTTTAGGCACTACGCCACGGTTTCTAATTTATCAACGCTCTAGAATTTTTCTCCAGCATGCCTTTAGAGGCCTAAAATATGCTACATCGAGCGGTTGCAAAAGATGCGTCGAGTTGGGCGGAAGAAGAACAAACTTAATTCCATTGTTTTCGAACTTTTGGATAACACCAGTGGTTATGTGGCTATTTAAATTGTCTCCTATGAGAATTTTCGGTCCGTTAAGTTTTCGAAAATAAGGTAACGCAATTGTCTTGAACCAATCTTCAAATAGTTCAGAATCAAACCATCGTCTCATAGAACGGTTGTACCTAGCTCCTTCAACGCCTCCTTCAGTCCATTCTTCGTAAGAATGTTTTACTTTATACACAACATATGGCGCCAATAAGGGTCTATATGCTGCTATAGCAAACATAACGGTGGTGTTGCTTTTTGAAGAGTCAATTGTCCTGTGAGTGTGTTTCGCGCCCCTTTTTGTAACCACTTTGACGGATCCCGGGTCGTCCACAAAATTGGTCTCATCGTAATTTATAATATTGGCAGGAGGCATACCTGCTAGGGAACTCGTTTGGTGTTCTCCGCTAATTTTATTGTCAGTTCTGGATGTCTTTACATGAACTTTTTAAACCAGTCCAGGCCTGGAAGATTATCTTTAAATCTTTTTTCAGTCAGCCCTAACTTGTTGAGATATTGTTGCAAAATTACCCTCACGTCATTTGATTTCAAAGGAAATCCCCACTCTGCCCAAATTTGAATGCGTTATCTTGGCTGTCATTTAGTACAGGTTGGCGGCCATATTTTATATAATGATGTGATATATAATGACTCCAAACTGCTCTGAAACTTGGTGCATGAACATGCTGCCCTGTCA